ACTATCGATGTGCAAAGTTTGTCTCTAGCTCTTTCCAATGCAACTCATCATCCAAGTATCATCTACTTGATCCATCAAAACTACAACCAATGGCGCCAAAATCAATCAACACATTAGGTACGGTCGACTCCATCCATCCTAATAATGAATTAATTAAGCTCAAGCTAAGCTATCTCATCTAGGCTTCTTCTTCTCGCAAGTTTTCATCGGCCTGCAGCTGGGGCGGGGGCAACGGTAGCGGCTGCGCGGCGCTGGCGGCGGCGGCCTCGGCGAGGAAGGAGAGCGTGACGGCGGCGTCGCTCATGCACGGCCTGGCGGACGCCTGGTCCTGCAGGCACATGGCGGCCACGGCGACGGCCTGGTTGAGGTCGCGCTCGGGGAAGTCGCCGCGGAGCAGCGGGTCGGCCAGCTCGCGGTAGCGCTTGCTGTCCTTGAACATGGGCGCGGCCCATGTGACGAGCACCTGCTCCGGCGCCGGGCGCGCCGAGTCGACGGCCCGGCGGCCCGTGATGAGCTCGAGCAGGAGCACGCCGAAGCTGTAGACGTCGGACTTGACGCTGAGGCGGCCGGTGCGGATGTACTCGGGCGCACAGTAGCCGTAGGTGCCCATGACGCGCGGGGAGCGCTCGCCGGGGCCGGCGCCGGAGGAGGAGGTGCTGCAGAGGCGGGCGAGGCCGAAGTCGGAGAGCTTGGGGCAGAAGGCGTCGTCGAGGAGGACGTTGGAGGACTTGAGGTCGCGGTAGATGACGGCCGGGTTGGCCGTCTCGTGGAGGTACTCGAGCCCCCTCGCGGCGCCCAGCGCCACCCGCATCCGCGTCTCCCAGCTCAGCGCGGCCGGCGACGCCCTCGCCCTCGGGGTACCCTCGCCGGCGAAGCGGTCGTCGAGGAGGAGGAGGTGGTCGGCGAGGGAGCCGAGCGCCATGTACTCGTAGACGAGCAGCCGCTGGTGGCCGTGGGAGCAGTAGCCGACGAGGCTGACGAGGTTGTGGTGGTGGAGGAGGCTGAGCATGAGCACCTCCACCACGAACTCGCGGTCGCCCTGCAGGCCCTCCAGGTCCAGCTGCTTCACCGCCACCAGCTGGCCGTCGTCCAGGCGCCCCCGGTAGACGCGGCCGAAGCCGCCCTCGCCGAGCAGGCAGTCGGCGCGGAAGTTGCCGGTGGCGTCGGCGAGCTGGTCGTAGGTGAAGGCGCGCGCGCTGCAGCTGGTGATGTTGCTGGGCCGCGTGCTGGGCTGCCGGCTGGCCGCGAAGCTGCCGCCGGACTTGGTGGAGGAGGAGGAGCGCAGGCTTCTTCGCCGGGAGCCGAGCCGCTTGATGGAGCCCGAGGACGGGAGTGGCCCGACCGCCGGAGCCTTGTCCTCCCCCTCGTCGTCGCCGTCCGCCTGCTGTGGCTTGAAGCATGAGAAGCAGCTCATCTCCGGCGGCCGCGCATCGATCGGTCGATTTGCTGTTACCCGGCCGGCGAGGGAAGAAGGAAAGAAACCAGATTTAGCTAAGCTATAGGATAGGATGGATCACCAGCCAGCCTACTTTTGCTTGCTTGCTTGCTTAATTATGGATGGATGGATGGGTTCCGGTGGTTGTTAGGCTCACTAACTATAATTAGGACGGACGGACGGACGGCCGGCCAGAGATTGATAGATAGATAGATGCACACCAACAATGTAGCAAGTAGTACATTTTTCACACGTGCACCAAAATTATATACTCAATGTAACAATGTATCCACAATCTGACATAATTTCCGCCGCAAACAAAAAATTCAAACAGAATTAAGCACATGATTATATATATACTCACCGCACGCTCATAGTGTGTTGCATAAAAAGAAGAAATGATATGATGCTATATTTTCCAGGTTCATCACCTGACCTGCATTTCTTCTTCATGGAATGTAGTAATAACAATAATCATGGGAAAAAATTCAGGAAAGAGCAACAAGTATACACAAGAAACATGAAAAAAGAAAAGAATGTAATAATAATAATAATAAACATGAAAAAATAATTTAATTTCCGGAAAGAGTACCAAGTATACTAGGGCATCTCACTCAATTAGCAACACACAAGCCAACCCCTAATTACAATTTAACGATACACAAACCCCCACATCTCTATTTGTTTGCCTTCCATATTTCGGCACGGCACATATATATTTATAATAGTCTGGTGGTCAAATGTACAATATGCTGCAGACTGCCACAAAACCTATCAAGCCTTCCTTGCTCACTTCCTGTTATCTCTGCACCAATAATGTTGAAAACACAAACACGTCAGTGGATTTATTTATTTTTTCGATCAATCACACTTTCATCTGGTAAACAATATGAATGCATCACTAGCTGAATCTCCATTCAGACCAAAACAAAAAAAGGAATACATGAATGATGCTGCTCACT